GGCTGCTGTGCTTCGCAAGGGCTTGCAAAGGGTTTGCAGCACCACCAAACCCTGCTCTGCCATTGACCACTTCTCAGGAGAGCAGAACTCCCAGGGAAAACAGCAACCAGAACCAACAGGCATTACTGAAACTGCAACCGAGCCCCTGGGTACTGATTGCTCACTTCTGTATCACCATCTCCAACCCTTTAAAGCCTCCTATGGAAATCGGGGTTGTGAGTAGGTATGGAGTCAGGAATAAAATCTCTCAAGTCCTTAAGTCTGCAGCAAAGAGACACCAATAGAGCAAGGATTAAGGGTAAGGGTCTCTACCCTCCTTATTTAAGGCACAGAGTACTCAAGTACTTAGCTCACTCTATGCACCGATGGAGGATGAGCTACGTTGGAAGTATAATTTACAGCACAAACCTTTTGGGGCAGGGACCAAAACTTCACATTCCTCCTGAACAAGGAAACTCTCAGCACCTCTTACCACAAGGAGCAACTGGTGCCTTTTTACAACTGAGTCCAAGTTGCCTATGTTTCTTTTGAAGAAGGTTAGCATGCTAGTCAATCTCTGTCTTTTTTAGTCTTCTCTCTTTTCTTTTTAAGAAACAGAAAGAGAGAGGATGCAGAGAGGCCTGCACGTCACTCAGCCAGCTCTGGCTAACAGCTGCTCACTCACCTAAGCAGTTCAACAGCAGCAACAAAATAATACCTATCACCATAGGTAACTGTGCGGGTAAACCATGATATCTGAATCCCTACAGAAGCAAGTTGCTTTAGCGATGTTTTGGAAGGCTGGAATCAAAACAGAGCCACTTCATGTTTGGAAAGTTTTGAAAATAACAACTCCGTGCCACATATAACTTACATTTAAGCTTAAGGAATGTTTTTTCCTGAGCTTCTGTGCAACTCAGAAACCAAATCCTTCCCTCCTCCCTGCTCAAAAAGATAATAATAATAAAAAAAATACATCTGGTTACAGAAAGGACTAACCATTCTGCAGAAAATTCCAAGTGTTCAAGATTTTACTACATTCCAAATCGGAACACCACCTTTAAACTTCTGATTTAATGAGAATGGGAATATTCTGATTTGGGAACATCAGCGCAGCCAGGCTTACCAATACAACTAACTCACGGGGAAAGGGATCCAGGCAGCTGGCAACGGGCAGGGATGACGGAAACCTGGATCCAAGCTCGGAGGGGGAAACCTTACTTGGAGCAGAAGCTGAGAGGACACTCAGGGCAATGAGGGACTCCACCACATCCAGTCAGTCTGTAGGCCAAGAGGCTGGAGGGCCCCGGCACACGGCTCCCCGCCAGCCACAGGGCCTGGAGAGCTTGGGGCAGCCGAGACCCTGAGCCTGGGGCAGGGGCTCTCGGGGAGGCTGGGGCTCGGGAGCCCAGCACCTTTGTAGCCCTGCAGCTGGAGATTGATCATAGGCAGCATCGACCCACTAAAACACAGTCATCAAGTGACCAATACCTGACCTGACAGGAATTGCTCTGATAGTATGAGTTGGTATTTAGCTCTTGGGCTAAGTGCAACACCCAGAAATGACTAAATATTACTAACCATGTATCTGTATCTGTAGTATTAAACTGGAAAAAAAAAAAAGGCGATCTAGATGCTAAAAGCACTATAAAGTAGTGCTGTTGCTTCCTGCAGCTTCAAGTTCTTAGTTTTCTATTATTAGCAACCTGAAGTGCTCCAAAATCTTCAGCTGGGCTTTCCAAAAAGAATTTTGACTAAAAATCAGAGCAGTTTAAAAAACAACATTTGGCCTCCTTTTTTTTTTTGTTTGCCTTCTAATTTTGGAACGTGTAGTGTTGGTGGTTTCAAACTTTGCCCAGAAACATGAGAGTTGGAAGTTTACATTTTGAATAAATGAAGGCTGGCATTTTCACGTCTCGCATGACTCCAAGAGCTGGGGCTGGAGGATAAGGCACTAAACTTTCTCAGGTTCTCTCCAGAATTGTAAGAGATTATCAACATTGACTTCATCACATTTTAGGCTGCAAGCCTGACCCATTTTATCAACAGTGCCCTACAGAATATGAATTGCCTTATGAATTTTAACAACCATATTTCATTTTAAATGTAGTTCAATTAAAATGATAGCCGTCACCGAGCTTCAAAGCAAACCAGTCAAACACCAACCTGGTTTCTCTGAGCGACTGGAAGGTATGAACGGCACCATACTACAAAACCTCACACCCCAGGTGTGACACCATGCATGTTTATTGCCTGCACTGGGAACCAGATCACAGACATGAATAAAAGTCTTGACATTTCTCTCACCCTCTGCCCCTTTGACGGGATGCCCACAGAGCCCCAGCTTCCAACATGCTCTGAAAGGAGAACAACAGGAAGGGGGTTATGCCCTAAAGAAGATGGAGAGGTGACTATGAGAGCTCCCCTGAGGCCCTGAAGGTACGTTTTCTAAGCTCAAGCAGCTAACAAGTCTTTCTCCAGCATCACAGAAGTGGCTGGTTTAATTGAGCTGTAGTTACACTGAGCATCGCAGTCCTCCAAGGAGAGAGGCTGCAGTCCTTCCTTGCTCGTGTACGGTGCGCACGACTTAGCACTTGCTTGCTGGGGTAAGGAGAGAGGGCAGGGTTTCCTCAGTGCGCTGAGAGAAAGGAGTCATAAATCAGGGGGTCAGTCAGTTTGTTTCTTCTTTCTTTTTTCTTTTTTTAAAAACCCTCGTGTATTATGCTTTCAATAGCATTTCCCCCCCCTCTCTATGTAGTAATTTATCTGGAATTATGGCAACTCTTACAAGCCTAGAAAAATTTGGCTCAAGTAAAATGAATCCTTTGTCATAAAGAGGTTGTGTTCATAACTGCAGCCTAATCATTCAATTGCACATAAGTCAAATAGTTATCCAGACTTTGTAGGAATATTTCCCCGTCAATAAATCTCACACTATTTAAAAACTCCGGGCCAACGTGACAGAAGCCTGTTAGATTAATTAGAGCAAGGTCAGAAAATCTGAACTCACAGCTACTTTCATGTCACAGTTTTGTTCCACCTACCGTAACCTGATTGTAAACTCATATATGATTTTAAACGAGTATGTTAGGGTGACTTTATTGCCTCCATTTATACACAAAGGCAGATTTCTTCAGTCTACTTCTCTCTGACAACAGTCAACTATGTGTGCAACCAAGAAAAAAGGTTTTCTCTTTCTACTCATCATCAATATTTTTTTAAAAAGGATTTTTTTTTTAAATCAGGAACTTCACAGTCTAATCTTGGATTGTAACCAGGATTCAAGAGACTACAAGGCCATACAAAATGTGGAACTGGCAAGAGGCAGGCAGTATAATCTTAAGTTTCACTACGAATAGATCAACTCTATGGGAACGAGAGGACATTATTGTCTCTACCCCTGTTCAATTTCTGACCTTATCATGTGACCATCAAAAAGGAGGGTGCCCCAAATCTGATGGGTTTTGTGTGAAGTGGACCCTGGAGGTGAAATTCTGACCTTGATGGGGTCAATATTTCATCTAGAATTCCTTGAGACAAGCCTCCAAATCATTCCTTAGGCTTGCAGCTTGTGGTAGCTGGCTGACATTCATTTACTATGGACTTAGGTCAAACCTGGACAGGGATCAAGAGATGAAAGGCTCTATATCTCATTATCAATAATCAGTGTTCTTCATTACCCCCCAAAAAGACATACTTCATTCTTATCTACAAGGATGTCAAACTTAAAAAGGGATGAGGTCAAATTTTGTTACTTCTATTTATTTCTATTTGCTGCTTGTAAGACAATTTCTTCTTTCACTCTTATAGCTAAAAGTGAAGAATATAAATACTTTCCATGATATCGGAGAGGTTCTCCTATTTTTTTTTTGCGTAAGTTTTATTAGACATAGCAATAAAGAATTAAACAGAAATCCTTCCACATATGAATTTAAAGAAGAAGAAAAAAATGCAGAGGTTGAGGCCAAGTCTGGCCTTACCAATCCACAAACTCTTTTCAGCAAAGCATGTGTCTTTCATATGTTGCCTTATAATAGAGGATTGCAAGTTCCCCAGGAGTTTTTCCTAGTTGCAGAAGTCATGACACTGAAAGAATATCCTCTGAAAGGATAGAGACAGTTTCTCCATTAGTGTGAAGCCATACAATTCCTCCATTTTCAGCGGAATTATGTTTTAACAAACCACCTAAGGAGATAACCCATAATTTTACGCAGCTAATTCTAAAACACTAAAGAGAAGTTTTAGAAGGAAAATCCTGATGTTACTGAACAAACAGAACATAACATCAACTTCCCACAGTTACTTGTAATGCTCTATAAATAATAGCATGCTCAAACAGTCAGAGATTTTACTGTGACTGTAAATATCTGCAAAATGTCAAACCCATCATTTGTTAATCTGTGAAAAATTTCATGGCCAAACTGATTTGCATTATTCCCAAAACAGGAGTTTGCATACATACACATGGAAGAAAAGTAATGAAAGACAGCAAATGGCATAAAAAGAGACTTCTGAATACATCAATTAAAATAAATAAATAAAGTTTACTGATTACATTGGGTTAACAACTTTTCTTCTACCAGAAGCAAACCTGTAAGTACCCAAGACCTAGACAGTTGCTCTCCAAAATCTAACCAATCTTTCAAACAGTTTCTCGCATTCAGACTCCACATTTTAACACCTTGATCAGAGCAAAGGGTAGATGCTTAATTACTAGTGATCAATGAAAACTCTTCAGCAAAGTATCGAACAGAATTGTAGGAGATCCATTCAATCCATTTTTTTTTAAATCAGTCCCCATCTGCAGCTGGAAGACACTTTCAGAGAATGTGATCCTACAAACCTTTGCTCAAATGACCAGCTCTTCTGACATCTGTTTCTTGATCCCTATATGAGCAGTGTTAATCATAGGAAGCCTTTCAGAAACTCAAAAACTGACATTTCTTTGCTTAGAGACAGGTAACATCTGCATGGGTTTTCATAAATGAGAAGCCAAGCTATCTGCAGAGATTCTTATGAAACTATGACAATAACAGACAAAAGTGAGGAGGGGGCAGGGGAATGGAAAAGGAAAAGGAGAGAAAAGAGGTAATAGGGACATGGGTGGAGACGGAATCTCTGACCTGGATCTGTTGCTGAAGAAGGTTAATTTTGTGTTGTTGCTGCAGGAGCTGCTGCTGTTGTCTTGCAATCTGTGGAGAAATTGCACAGAAGAAATATGAGATATGGATCATCTTTCCTGGAACTGGTACATAGGAATTTTCCACCCTGCTTCGTTCTTTAAAACTGCTCTATTAAGCTAAAAACCTCCAAGTGTGGGTGGCAGCAGCTTGGACTGAAGCAGGTGCTCATATTCAGGAGCAATTCACACCTGATACTAATGTGAAAGGGACATTATGGACAGAGGCAATTAGGGACATTAGGGACAATGCTGTGCCGGATATGAAGAGAAGGAATGATGCAAAAATCTCTTCTCTCTTGTTACCTTATGGAGTGGCACTGCTGAAGCCAAAAAACATGAGCATTCATCTGCTCCTCCCTGCTGGAGGAGGAAGAACAGTGGCAGAGAGGATGGCAAACAGGAGGATAAGGTAGAAGAGGCAAGAAAAGTAGGATGGACAGTAATAATCTTTTCACTTTGGGTACTACCCACTCAAAGCCTTCAAGAGAGGAAGTTTGGCACCCAGGAGAAAGTTGTTAGTGTGTGCATGTCACTGAGGGAGAAACAGGTACCGAGAGCCTGGAAATGGGTTTGGGAAAATCCCTTTGCTGCTCAGCACCTCCATGGGGTGTCCCCTGAAAGAAGCTGGGGGCTGATGCAGGTCAGGGGACCTCCACGCTGAAACCAGTTTACGGAAGTTGTTGAAGTAGGTCTAAGTCTTCTAAGTCAAAATCACCTGTACTTTCTCTAAGAACTTCCTCTCTTTCTCCTTTGGCTGAGTGATGGAGAAATCTACTAGCCTACCAGGAAAATGCAGACAGTACTGTAACCACAATTTTCGAAGGACTGAGAGAGAAACCAACATATACCTCAAAACTGAGAAACAAACATAAAATCGTTTACTTGAGTCGTTGCAGAAGCTCTGCTCTCATTGAGAGCTAGCACAGCAGCTATAAGGAGGATTCCTCAGGGTGAGATACGCCTTTCCACATACTGAAGGGGAAGAGTTTTAAGCATTATTCCCCTAAGGAGTTCTTTTTTTCATTGCTATTATTAAATTATTATCACAAGAAACACTTGCTTATTGTTAACTCCACATCCAAAAGATTAACAAACTCTTTTCTTTCTAGAGCCTCTCCTTAAATGACCATAACTATTTTTTGTTGATTTTTAAAAATTCAGTTAACTTCTATATAACACTGAATTATAAACAATGCCTTAAATTAAAAGAAATGCAAATTATCCTAATAGTAACCTTGCCGATTTTCTTCCTGCCTTCTCCTCCATTTGTTCCGTTTTCTTTTTCACTTATAGATCATTCAGCCATCCTAAAACAATAGCGACTTTAGTAGGCAGAGCAAAAACAATAGGTCCTGTAGGATGTCTCCTCATCTTGCCAGTCCCTCCACACACCGTTGCTTACACACAGGTATAAGCAACAGTGTGATACAATTGAACATGCAAAATTTTGTTAACTTCATAAAAATTAATGTAACTGCAAGTATGCAGACATTGGAATAAATAAATAGAAAGCTTACCTCCTTTACATAAGTGCAAATATGATTGCAATATTCAAAAAAGCATAGATATATGCTCAGATAGATCTATATGTTTTGAGATAAGAGGCATGAGGATGCACTATCAACAAAATATTAGGCCGGATATCTAAGCATTTATCTAAGCATGCTCTTCTCAACTTGAGGTACGTTCATTTCTGCTAAAAGTTGCATGTTTCAAATTCATTCAAAAAAATTTGTGCTCTTGCATAAAATGTTGTGGATATCTGTATATATTTGAACTGTTCATACGTGGATACGTTTTTGCACCTCCAGTGGGGGGTATATTTGCAAGAACATAAAATCAAACATTTAAAATGCAGGGAAAAAAAAAGACACACACACACATTTGTTCACTGATTTTACATTCTTCCCTACATTTTTTTCAGTGTCAGCAAAAAGACCCCCTTTTTTTAAAAAAGAAAGGTTACGATCCCAGTGCCATGTTTTGTAGCCTCTATACCTATTCAGTATGCTTGAATGCAAGCGGTATTGGAAGAGTATTCAAGAGAGTTGAATTTGCACTGATTTGCACTTATGAAAAACAAGCCAGTATGGAAAGAGAATCCCCCGAGCTGTAGGGTATTCCTTTCAAAGACAAAGAACACAGAAATTTTACACACTCCAAATTAAGACGCTGTTCCGATATACCTTTATTCAAGTTTCTTCTCCTAAGAAAAGGAAGGAACACAAATTCTTGGTAGAGAACAAACTCGAGAAGCACCCACCGTAAAAGCTGAACTGCTGGAGAGCCCTCCTAGGAGTGGCTTTAAGCTGGAGGCCCCTGCGCTACTCACTCACCTGCTCTTGCTGCTGCTTGGCCAGCTCCATTTGCTGGCGCTGCTTCTCGATCTGTGATGCCGCCAGCTTCTTCTGCTCGTCGTGAGCTGCCAGCAGCTGCTCCCGCAGGCTGGTCAGCTGATTGATCATGCCCATGAGCTGCCTTTCTTTCTCAGCGAGGCTTTCTGGAGTCCCTGAGCATCGTACGGCGAAAAACACAAAAAGGTAAAGAGGAGAGGGGAAATTCAGAATTAGTTCGGTTTTTATTTTGCAACTTCACTGTAAGCAAAGTTTTATCAGAACAAAAGTGCAGCAGCATATTGCAACATATTTGCAGGAAAATGAGCCAGGAAGATGTTCTTGTGTGTTAGTGTTCCCCTTCAATGCTTGCTTGCCCTTTCATCTATTTCGCATTGCCCTTTTTTTTCCCCAGCATTAATAGGGAAAAAAAAAATGGTCTCTTTTATATGAGTTTCAAATTTTCATATTATTTACACACCACAGCCATCATGGGGATCAAACCCAACATTTCCACCATGAAAAGGCTGTAATATTTTTTGTCAGAAACTTATGACAAAACGATGCCAAGCTTTTCAGCTTGCAGAGGCTGCCGGGTGCGTATCCGCATCTCCCCAGAGCCGAGGGCGAGCACAGCAGCCTCCTCGCTGGCGGATGCCCCCGTGCCCGGCACTCTCACCATCAGCAGCACAGCGTCCCAAAGCTGCCGGCAGCTGCTCTGCCATCCAGGGCTGCCCACGTGAGCACAAAATGGTAGAGGGTTTAACGTGTCTATAGCTGGTATCACTGGTGTTGCTGAAGAGGAGAATTTTTAAAGGAAAAAAAAAACCAAATGGCTTGCATAAATGTGTTAGAAAAATGAGGTGAGTTAAAGGCAACCCAGTGTCTCTGCTATTTTTACTGTCATTAGTTGTTTCTTATATGAGAGTTCAAAAGACGACTGGCTTCCTCTATCTCAGGAGCATTCAGCAAAAAGAGGCCTCCTTCTGCCCAGAATGACAGTGGTTATAAGGGAAGGGAAGAAAGAATTCCAAAGAAAAATCATCCAAAGCTACGACTCATACCCTCAAAACAAAAATGCCAGTATTAGGATACCTAATACCCTTTCACTGTGAATTTAAAAGACACAAAATATGTGTAGCAGCTAATCCACAGCTATCTCCAGCACCACCACAGCCTCTCCTCTGAGTTAGGCCCTGAAATCCTGTCCCGAGAAGCTGTAGGAAACAATTAGGGCTATCTGTGGCTATGCCACCTCGGGAAAGGCTGCTCTGGGGACAATGCTGCCACAGAAACCTTTCTCCAACATAGGAAGTGTTCTTCTGCCAATGTCACCAATGCTCTCCAAGTGGAAAAAAAAAAAAATTGGCTACTGCACTAAACACATTCCTAGCCAACTATCAGTCAGACATGGAAAAGAGCTACTGGTAATAGCTCATTTAGGCTAACCCCCTGCCAGTGCAGGAATGTTCCCTACAATATATTTACTACAGCTTTCTAGATTGGATTGAAATGTCTGAAATGGTGAGTCATCCGCTGCTTTCTTTGGAAGATTATACCACAGTCTTAGAGGTGTCACTGTTGGGGATATTTGCTTGATATTTAGTCTAATTTGCATTCACTTAATTTCATCCTCGCACTCCCAAGCAGCATCCCATTTGCTACTTTAACCAGCTCCAAGCTCTTTAATGCATTTGTACACAGTTACATACAACTGGGAAAACACAAAGAATGAAGCTTTTCATATAAAGGCAATGTCACTTGATTTAACTTCCTGTTAAGTTGCCAGAGATCTATGTGAAAATATCCTTGCTATATAACAAAGATCTACACAAAATATACTCAGATATGTATCCAGAAAAAAAAAAAAAAAAAGGAAAGCAGAAAACTTCACAAACAACCTAAAATAGAAAGCACAGGACTTCAAAACTGCTTTGTTAAAACCTTCTGTGAGGAAGAATAGAAGGCAGTGGTAAAAAACTACCAGTCTTTTAACTTACAACTTCCATTTCAAACTTTAGAGGCAGAGAAGTAGTTTAAGTAAGTAATGCATTTGCCACCTGGCCCCACAATTAGTTAGAAGTGTCTATTACAGCTTCTCCATCCTTCAATTGCTTTCTTTAGGGAGAAAAACAAGAGTGCAGCATTTCCAAATGGCACAGGCAAAGGTTTCTCAAAGGCAGCTCCTGCCTTGCTCTGTCGGCTGCTGGTATTTTAAACTCCTGTAACATTCATCTGCTGCTGATTTGCTGGGCTTACCTAGTCTCGTTGGCAGTGCAACACTTTGCACACGCTGAAGTGTCTGCAAACTGAAAAGTGTTTGCAGATTTTTTTTCTAAGTTTTTACTGAAGCGTGTGTGTGCGAGAGAGAAAACTAGAGAGAGAGAGAAGGAATACATAGTATTGGGCTAGTTTTAAAGAAAGTGCAAGAAAATACAAATCACTGTCAAATAAACTGTTCAACAAGTACAGTGACACACATCAAAGATAGGTAGGATTGGATAATCAGTGTATTTTGAGCTCTGACAGTAGCTTTCAGCTGAGAATCAAGAAGCACTTTGTAGATTAAATTAATCCCCACCACACCTCTGAAAGGTGGAAAACTGTTTCCATATGTGAACGCTGCCCGACGGCGGCAGAGCGCGGCATCTCCGTGTCCAGCCGGGCGGCCTCAGGCCACGCGTCCCCGAGCGGAGAGCGCGCCCAGCGCTGCCACCCTCGCCCTGGGCAGCTGCAACCACCCGCCTGCCGGCCACGCAGCCGCCGAAAACGCTGTTTTAACCATCTGATCACCTGGAGAGGAGCGCAGAACCACTCCTGCCGGGAACACAACAGCTTTATTTAAGTGGCAGGAGCAAGGCCAAATGATGGATGAATGAAGAGCAAGAGGTCGGGCCGATGACCTGGCAGTAAAGAAACTCCAGTTGTCGTTCACCAGACTCAGTTTCTTGGTTATTATTTATGTTTTAAATGACCTTTGAGACGCCAAAGGGCACGCTTTATGCACTGACTTCTGCTAAGTATGACCCGGGCCCCGCTGCCTTGCCCTGGCACAGAACTCACAAACGCGAGTTCTTCTCGCATCGCTCTCCCTGGGCAGCTTCAGTTTGACAAACCACCGCTGCTGCTGCCGATGATGATGATGATGCTCAGCAGCAGCTTTTAGCACAGCTTTTAACCAGGAGGCCACCGGCCCTTCGGGACACTGCTTCTGAGCCTGCCTGGCTCTCAGCGCGCTGCCACCGCTGTGGCAAAATGTGGATTCCTCACAACAAACCTAGCGGCACCCAAGTGCGCGCTATGATCTGACACCGTGAACGGCCTGAGAAAAGATGCTTTCCAGATGCATCAGCTCTTCACTACCACCAAAAAGGGGGATCCAGAGAAGAACGTGTTTGTGGGTGCAGGGCTTGCAGTACATGGCAATAAAGAAAGACTCAAATTAGTGGCCTCCTGGATCACCCAACCTGAACTTTATCTCAGATCACTGCACATAATAGAATCTAAGTACTAAAAGAAAAGTATGTGAATGTGAAATAAGCTATTACAGATTCTTAGTTATGATGCACAGTCCCAGGCTGGCGGTGGCTGTAATGTTTTAATAAACTTTGGAGTGTAGGCACCAATAAGACCAAATGACACACTCAGAGTGAGAAAATGAACAGGAGAAACCTTGGCATATTCATCCAAAACAGAACCAAAAAGAAAAGAAAAGGAAAAGAAAAAAAAAAAAGATAAACTGCTGTTGCCATCAAAACAACAAATATTTTAATTCAATCCAGAGAATAAGAATGTAAATGAGAAGTTGGAATTGCCAATATTTTCCTAACCAGATAGAATGATAGAATCATAGAATGCTCAAGGTTGGAATGGACCTCTAGAGGTCATCTAGTCCAACCCCCCTGCACACGCAGCCTGTTCCAGTGCTCTGGCACCCTCACTGTTAAGAATTTTTTCCTTAAGTTCCTGTGGAACTTTTGGTGCTTTGGTTTGTGGCTGCTTCCTCTAGGCCTGTCAGTGTCCACCACTGAAAAGAGGCCAGCACCATCCTCCTCACTGCCTCCCCTGAGGTGCTGATAGACACTGATCAGATCCCCTCTCAGCCTTCTCTTCTCCAGGCTGAACATGCCCAGCTCTCTCAGCCTCTCCTCACAGGGCAGGTGTTCCAGGCCCCGATCACCCTCAACTTCAAGCTTCTGCCACTGATGGCTGCGTGATGAGCATGTTTGCTCGCAGCCCCACACCACTTAACGCGTTACACGAGCGCTGCACAGAGCCACGCAGGGGTTCGCATCCCCTCCGAAGCTGGTAGCTAGCAGTGTCATCCATCAGAGGCGCACGCGTGCACACTCACCCACACCCCTGCAGACACTGAAATTTATCCCCCGAGTCAGCTTACTATCAAAGTAATTACCTAAATAGCTTTTGAACTGTCAGCATCTGTCTTGCAAAGAAAAATCAAAGAAAACAACGCGCTACTATAGGGCCTGCAAGACACAATAATATTGTATCACGTTTGTGTCATTAACTGCAGTTACTAAATAAAAAATCTTTCCTGTTTCCATGAAGCTCTGTAGGGGAAAACAACCGCAAAAAACATTAAATGGAAATAAGACTATTTTGAAGTACCCTTTGTATTTTGAATGATGATAAGATACAATAATAATAATTAGGACATGCAGCAGGCAGCATTTTTTTAATTTCAAACCATTTGCTAATTGTTCTTCATAAAGACTGTTAGCAGGCAGAAAAGCGCTGGGATGTATTACTTTTCTATGGGAGAAAACTGAGGCGTGACATCTTAGAAACTTGCCTGAAGTCTTTCTTAACTTTACGCACCGCAAGCAGTTTTATTGATGGCTGTGCTGAAGGCACCAGCAGAACTACTGCAGAAAGCCAAGGATTTTATCAGTGACTTCCACAGGGACACTTGTTAAAGAAATATATAACTCTTTGCAAGATCAAGTTTGGTAACAGGTAGGGTTCTCTCTACAGGGACCCTGTCAGTGAGGGAAATATTGACACTGTACAGCTAACCAAGGGACAAATCCACGTATTGGGTATCAGAGTAGTTAGGAAAAGGGTAGTCAGGACACAACTGCACTCCAGCTGAAAACTGAGTCATGTCCAAGCATTTACTGCAGCGATGTAGTTTTTTTTTCAGTGAGATTTTAGG